CGGCCCCCGCCAGGCGGCGCCCCGGTCGGCGCGGCCGCCACGCGCGCCGCTCCGCGCACGGCGCACGCCAGCACCACGACCACGGCACGCTTGTCGTTGTTTTCGTTGTGGCGCTCCTCCTTGCTCGCTTTTTGGAGTCACCGCGACCCATCCCGTTTATGGCGGTCTTGATGGCGGGCATCATGCGGCGTTATTGTATGACGGGCTGCACGCGCGGCCGCTGCCGTCCTCGCCGAACAAAGTGCCGGGAGGCGGCCGGACCAGCGCGGCAGCCACACCGAAAATGGAGCGGCGGCTTTGTGGCAACTAATTACCAGCGGATTAAACGCGCCCGCCTCGCTTCGGCAAGTTCGTTAATAACGCGGATTAGGGCGCAGAATGGACCGCGATAGCATTGATCACTCCGGCGAGCGCGGCGGCGCGGCGGCGCGGCCAGAGTCATGTCGCGGTGACGTCATCACCCACGTGCGGCCAGCGTCCCCAGCGTCCGTGCCCAGGCCGTGTGTGGCGAGGCCCAGGCTCCAGCTCCAGGCCGGCCTGGCCTGGCCGTGCACGCTGCAAGGCCGCATCAATACCCCATGCGCGTGTCGCGCCGCCCCGCCACGCCCCGCCGTCTCCGTGCATCCCAGCCGGCCAGGCGGCCAGGCACTCTGGCCTGGTGACGCCCCGGGCAGCCCCTCGGCCCGCGCCAGCTAGAAAGCCCGAGCCTCGGCATTTTTTAATAACACTGCTTTTAATTTGGCGACGTTGTTTTTGCACGTCCGCCGAGCTGCGCCAAGCGCGACGATGACGACAACGGCGCAATCTGGTTCGCCGACTTGAGCGACGCCCGTCAGCAGCTGCCACCTGCAGGCGCGCGCCTCGTCAAAGCTGCCCTTCAAGCAGCCCCGATCGGCAACCCCAAGTGGCGGACTTGACCTGCTTTTTGATCTGCACCAAGCTCCACCGTCTCGAAATCGCACCGCTAATGGACTTCCTCGTCCGATGGGCAGTCCATTGCTACCCTGTGTTTGTCGTCCCATTGGGGTTGGCAGGAGGCGGTCGGAAAGGCGTCGAGTCGAGAGTGGTTCCGGGTGAGCGGGGCGATGGCGATCGGACACTCTAATGGTGCCAGGCCAGCCACGTGCCAGGCAGTTAGGCGACTTCCTGCGCGGAAAATAGCCGCCATAATGCTCTCCTTGTTTGTGCGCGTGCCGTTAGCGCCGCCCCCTCGGCCCACGCCGCGCCGCGTCGCACCGCGTCGGCCATGAATAGGTGGATAACGACCCATCGCCGTCATCGCATCATCGACGCGCCGCGACGCGCAAACTCGACACCGCATCAGCAACTCCAGCAGCTTTGTGGAGCGCGTCACCAAGGACAATAGGCCGGCGCGGCGGTGCGGCGGGGAGGGGGAAGCCTGGGGAAGCCTGGCTGGAATGCTGGCCGCCACAATGCACCCCCTTTGGCCCCTCCTCTCCCTCCGCTGCGGCTGTAGGGCGGCGCATCATTGGCAGGCGCATGCTCGACTATCGGATTGCGGCCAGCCTCATTCCGAACTCGGTCTCTCTCGCACGCCATGCCACGCCCCGCGAGTGCGAGAGAGACTGCCCGGAACCAGCCTGCAGCAGCTCCAGCGCACCTGCCCGGGGCTGGAGAGCGATTTCCAGCTGGAGAAGCTTGCCGCGCTGGTGCACTGCCGTGGCGCTGCCGTGTGCCACGCGGAGCACGAAGCTCGCCGAACTTCCCCGAAGGGCGTACGGCCGCAGTAAAGTTTGCGCGTGCGAGAGAGAGGGAGAGAGAGGGGGCCCCGCCCCGCCCTGCCCCCATTCGGCCGGAAGGAGCGCACACTAGACGCCCCAGGCGACACCAATCACTAGGGACAGGTGGGTGGCGTGGGTGGCGGCCCGTCAGGCTGCAGGCGGGGTCGGTGTCCTGGTGGGCCTGCCTCGCCGGCCCACACCCACACCCAGTGCAGCGGGCAGCGCGGGCAGCACGCCGTCGTCTTGGGCCACTCGGACGACCGCCACCAGCCGCGCCCAGGGAACCCCTTTATCAGGCATCGCACATCACAATAAAGCGGACCGTAAACTTGCAGTGTCCCGTTCTCTGCGCGCTGGCGGCACGGCGGCACGGCCGTGCCGGTCTGTTGGCTGCAATACGATCCACACTCGTGTCCCATCATTTCGGCGAACGGCGTTAGTAAAAATAAAAAGTTGGTCCTTTTGGTGCGCCACCTAGCGACCATTATTCGTCAAATGCTCACAACGCGATCTTCTTCGCACAGGGTTTCAACAATCGTGACTCGGAATCCCAAAAGTGTCCCACAATCGTCTATTTTAGACCAAAGTGAAAAGACCCCAGACGCCTAACTATAAAGTGCAGTACCGCTATGAACGGAGCGGCGCTGCTATGTGAAATTGTGAGTTGCGTTTCTCCACCCTAAAGGACAGCGGAGCCATCGACCAGTCGGGTCGGGCCTTCCCTGCCCCCTGTGGGCCTGGCCGCCCTGGCCGCCCTGCCGGCACATGACCTTGCCTGCTGCAGAACGCACCGGCCCGTGGAGGGGTCGGGACTCAAATTAAAAATAGACCGAAAATGTGGCGTCGTCGTCGACCGTCCCACCCTGTCCGGGTCGTCGCGCAGCCTGGCGCAGCCCCACGGGACGGCCGGGGTTAAAAACCTGGCGGTGTACGCGAAGGCCCTCCCGAAGGACGAGCCACGCGTCGTAGGGCGTCGCGGGGCGTCGCGGGGCGCCGTGAGAGAGGCGCGCGCCCTTCGAGGAGGCCGCAGAGGGCGCAGCGGCCCACGGCAACAGGTGAGCTGCAGCGGTACAGGCGTGCTCGGTACAGCGCTGTGCGAGGCTGCGCGAGGGACGCCCCTGGACCGCGCGCACGCCTGAATGCCGCATGCCACTACGCCTCTCCACCTCCACCCTTAACTCCTTCGGCCCTTCGGCCCTCCCTTACTTCCAGGGGACTGGGACTTGCCCGGCCCTTTTCTTCGCCTCGCCGCGCTGCCTCTGCGAGAGACCCACGCCTGGAACCTGGGCAGCGCGGAGTGCGCGGGCTCGGACTGGCCCTCAAAAGACCCCGGCGGGTAAGACCGCAAAAGGCCAACTTTGGTCCCAAAATCGTTGCGGTCAAAGGCAAAATCGTTGTGGTCAACGTCTTCCCGATACAGGGCATGAAAGAGTAGGGTCTTAAGAATACTACGGCGTCGAGGGAGGCCTTTTAATGCTACTAGATTGGACACAGTAGCCGCCCAAAGTCAGCAAAATCAGCAAATTTCCGAGATTCGACCGCTTTTTGGCCAACTTTGGTCCCAAAATCGTTGCGGTCAAAGGCAAAATCGTTGTGGTCAACGTCTTCCCGATACAGGGCATGAAAGAGTAGGGTCTTAAGAATACTAGGACGTCGAGGGAGGCCTTTTAATGCAACTAGATTGGACACAGTAGCCGCCCAAAGTCAGCAAAATCAGCAAATTTCCGAGATTCGACCGCTTTTTGGCCAACTTTGGTCCCAAAATCGTTGCGGTCAAAGGCAAAATCGTTGTGGTCAACGCCTTCCCGATACAGGGCATGAAAGAGTAGGGTCTTAAGAATACTAAGACGTCGAGGGAGGCCTCTTAATGCAACTAGATTGGACACAGTGGCCGCCCAAAGTCAGCAAAATCAGCAAATTTCCGAGATTCGACCACTTTTTGACCAACTTAGGTCCCAAAATCGTTGCGGTCAAAGGCAAAATCGTTGTGGTCAACGCCTTCCCGATACAGGGCATGAAAGAGTAGGGTCTTAAGAATACTAGGGCGTCGAGGGAGGCCGTTGGCCGCAACTAGATCGGACGCAGTGGCCGCTCAAATTCAGCGAAAACGGCTACTTTCGGAGATTTTGACCAACCCGGGCTGGCGGACTGGCCTGGCTGCGACGTGGCGGCTGGTCCGTACTGTTTGTCCACGCCCCGCCCGCCCCTCCATTTTTCCCTCCACTAACCCCCGGCGTCCCCCGCCGCGCCACGCACAGCGCTGCGTCAACATCATCACCCCGGCCGCTGGCTGCTCCGCACTGCTCTGTGTGTCTGTGCCATTCGCTCACGGCTTTATTTCTTCGTGTTTTCCAGGTGAGGAACTGAGGAACGCGGCACGGCACGGCACGCCGAGCAAGGAGGAGGCCCAGCACGCCGAGGCGCTCCCAGCCCGGCGCCCGGCGGCGGGGAGGAAAGTATGTAGAAATTTAATCTAGTCGGGGCCGGGATTTGCTACAGGCCGCAACATTTATGAGGTCGGGCTGTGTGAGCGCCGCGAGTCGCGTGGAAAAGGGCGAGCCAGTAAGGCCACATCAGTAAGTAAGGGCGTTTTTGGTTGTGTGCAGACTGATTCCAAAAGGACTTTGTCGCTCTGTCTCTCTCACACCGCGCGGGACGCCCCGTGAGTGCGAGAGAGAGCGGCGAGAGTGTTCGACGGCAGCCTGGGCCTAGCGCCTTGCGCTGACAGCTGGAAGGGATGAGAAGGGTTCCGTCTCGGCTGCTGGGTGTACCGGTCCCTTCCAGGACCCTCCAGGACCTTCCAGGATCGGCTTGGGAAGGGCCTCGGCCCCCACGGCCTCCATGGCAGCCTCGTTCCCCCGGAAGGCCCGTTCCGGCCGACGGCCGTCGGATCATCGAGGTGCCGTTCAGATGCTAAGCCGGTCCGCTGCAGGTCGGGGCGGCGCGGGTCGCTGTTGGAGCAGCGCTGTGGCTTCGTTGGAGGAGGCAGTCTTTGTTGACGATCCTCCATCACGACGGCGTCCTGGGCCTCGCCCTGGCCGTGCCCCTCGCACCGCCGTGGCCGGCCCGTTGGAGGGGTGGTCCCGCGGCCCGACGGCCCGACCCCCTCCCCAGCGCCGCCGCCGGCCGGTGCGCGGTGGTGCGCGGGCCCTGTGAGCCTCGACGCCGCTCGACGCCGCTCGACGCCATGGCGGGCAGGCAGGCCAGCAGCGCCAGCAGCCGCCGCCGTGGTGCGGGGCCGCCAGTCCGCCGAGCGACGCCACGCGGAACGTCACGGCGCAGCCACCGTCTCACACTCACACACCCACACTCACTCACACCCACACACCCACACACGCGCACTCACACCGTCCCCGTGGACCGCCACGGCGCCCTGACGTACGGGACACTCTTCCTCCATCGGTGCGCGGCGTGGCGTGGCGTGGCGTGGCCTCGTGGGGCGTTCGCGGAGTGTCGGAGTGCTTTGCCTGCTCGGCGATGCGTGCCTGAGCCGCGGCGTGTCGAGATCGTCAGCGTCGAGGTCGTTCCTCGCGAAACCGTGTCGTTCCCGTCGAAATCGTCGTTCCCGTCGAGGCCTCCGCCGCCTTGGTCGTTCCCTCGCAGTGCGAGGCCGTTTCCGCTGTGGTCGTTCCCGTCGCGAGACCCAGCCCGGTCGAGTAGTTCCGTCGAGGCCGTTCCGTCGAGGCCCTCGTTCCGCGCTCGTTCCGCCGCGATTGTTGCCCGCGCGCAACAAGGGTGTCACGTGGCGAGCACGTGCTCGTCGATATCTCGAACCGACTCGGGGTTCGGTCCTTCGGTCGTTGTGGTGGCGCCACCGTCGCTCTCGGCTCGGCCCGCGCCGAGGCCGCTGCATTCGCAAAGCATCGCCAAGCGCCGCACAGCGACGCAAGGCCATGGTGGCCTGCAGCATGGCGAGAGGAAGAGTCTGGCCAGGCCAGGCCACGACACTGGTCACTAGCCAGCTTTTTGAGAGTTTATGTTAATCAATTCTGACTGAGACAAATCCGTCAGCCACGTAAGTCTGAGTCACGGCCCGAACACACAACACGATTTGCACCCCATTTCCTCCCCTTCCTTCCTTCGAGTCTGCCGCGCCCCTGGCTGCCCCTGGCTGCCCCTGCCCCCTCCCTCGTGCGTGCGCCCCTCACCTTGACTGCCTTGACGGAGTGGCGTGGCGTGGCCGAGTGACCCACCGGCCTGCCAGCATGCTGCCAGCCCAGTCAGGGTGACCTCCGAGGCCCACCAAATGTCAGCCCTAGATTGTTTAGCCTGCCGCCGCCAGCGCGCCGAGAGGGCTCCGCATTTTTATACCGCTTCCTTTGTTTCCGCTGCGGGGGATTTTCCAGACGGAAGACCGGATGTAGCTGTCCGCTCTGCGCTGTGTGTGTGTAGGTGTGTGTGTGTGTGGGTGTGTGTGGGTGTGTGTGTGTGTGTGTGTGGGTGTGTGTGTGTGTGTGCCCTCGAGACGTCCATGGGAATTGGTCGTAACGCTCAATCCCAGCGCAGTTTACATTGTCGCAATGGAAGTCGTAACCTCTGGCGAGTGTTTTGCTTCAACCCGCTTCTCACTACGCTTTGCTGCGCTTTGCTGCGCTTTGCTGCGCTCACACACTCGACGGCGTGCCGCTGCCGTGTCCTTGCAGCTGGAAAGGGGGAGGGGTATGCCGAATCATTATTTTCGTCCCGGATTAATTATTCGCAGGAGGAAAAATGGTGCGGCTTGCGGTGGGCCAGGTCGCCCAGAAGCACCCCAGCAGCACACGTCATTAAGACAGGGCGATTGGGAGGCGGGCCTCGTTACAGGCGGGCAGGCGGGCAGCCAGGCAGGCAGCGGGGCGCCAGCGCCAAAAACAAATTCGAGGACGCTGTCGCGGGCCACGCCCCAGCAGACGCCAAGAAATAAGATTTTCTCGGGCCGCTTCGATACAAATTTCTGTAATCCTCTTCGACAGGCCTTTTATAGAGGCGGCGGGACGGGCCGATCTGCGCCGCCTCCATCAAAGCCTCGGGGCTCTGGTGCGACTCTGCGACGCTCTTAGAGGCGCTCTCCTTGTTGATGGCGGCACAAATAAGGGCCGGGGAGGACGAGGACGCCGAGGACGGGTTGCCCGGGAAAGGGGTCGTCGCCGCGAGGTAACAGGCGCAGCGTGGGGCGCGGGGCGGAGCAGGGCGCGCGGCCCCGGCCCAAACAGCGCCGCGCCAAATGGTGCCAATCCGCGAGGACGCCGACGACGCGGCCACGACGCCCTCCGAAAGTTTACCTTATGGCGGGCGCGGCAGGCCCCGTGACGCCCCAGGGGTGCGAGGGAGACGGTGCGACGATGGCGCCGTTCGGAAACGGCCTCCTGGCACGGCCCCAAGGAGGTTGGGCCCACGCTGATTGGCTTGTTCTACCTGGGCCAGGTGATGTACTGCAGCCGCAGTGCGCCGCGCCAAGAAAAGCGCGCCGACGATGACTCTTACTTCGTCATCATGGCCGTTCTCCTCGCCGAGGGCGGTTTCGTCGCCGGTGGCGTAGATGAGCTTGCCGAGGGTATCGGCAATCGGTGGCCGGCGGACCGCATCGGGCCCTTCGGAGCAGCAAGACTTCAGGACGACCCGGACGACCCTCCGGGCGACTTGGCTGCCGTCCGGGTGGCGGTGCTGGCACACGGCACTGACAACACCCTCCGCCCGCCTCGCCCGCGGACACAAAGAAGGCGCTGTGCAAGGCGACGCGCCTTACGTCGCACGACAGCCGTCGAGTGAAATTGGTTATGGAAAGGAGCGGGCGGTGCGTCGGGACGTTGTCGATAACGATGCAATATGCAGGCGCCCGCCCCGCCCCGCCCGGCCGGCCGGCCCGACAGTGACATGCACGTCGTCACCGGATCAAGGTCGCACATGGCTGCAGTCGCTCTCCTCTCACTCGCCCAGCCGCCTCGGTGTCAGGCCGTCGGGCCACGTGGCGTGCGCCTGACAGGCAGACTGATGCCGAGCCGCTTTCGCCGCTCCGTCTCTCTCGCGCCCCTTGGGGCCTCCCCGTGAGCGGGAGAGGGACTAGATGACCTCGCGGAGAGCTCTGCAGGCCCGCGGTGCCGGTCGGTCCAGCAACGCCATAAACACCCGCAGCGAACGGGCGCGTCGAGCGGGCGCGTCGTTTCCTGCGGCGATGCGCGACGCAATCGCACGCCCCGCCCCGCCCGCCCCACCCCGCCCCGCCCCGCCACGGCCTAACGACGCCGATAAACTCGGGAATAATTGTGGGTCCGAAAAGGGCGCCGGTGAAAACACGCCGCACCTGCACGACCTGCGCCGGGCGTGTGTGCTTGTTAAAAACTTGTCGGCTAGGAAGAGACTACATGACAGGGCGCAGTTTGTTGTTGTTGTTGTTGTTGTTGCTGCTGGCGGTGCCGTGTGTGGGCGTGCCGGCGGCGTGCTCGCGGTCCCGATGCCCCGGATTGGCGGGCGCAGCGAATCAACTTTTCCCCGCGGCCACCGCAGAGCGACCGCACCGCGCTGCTCATCAGGCCGAGGCCCTGCGAGGGGTCGCCCGGAAGGCGGGGCAGGGCGGGGCAGGGCGGAGCGCAGGTGGAGGGGGAGGGGGACGCACCCTTCGTGCCCGACGGCCGCACTTCCAGAACGAAAGTTCGCTGGCTGGCGGTCTTGCCTGTCTCGCGCCTTCTAACGACGGCGGAGCAGTCCGAGCGCCGTCGCGGTGGGCAACCCGCCGGACGGCTGGGTGAGGCGGCACGGCCTACCCGCAGCTCCGCGGGCGCTCGCACGGCGACGACTGGGCGATGTGGTCGTTTCGCTTTCTCTCTCGCACTCACAGAGGTACACCCAAAATGTATTGAGTTTGGGCGATGCGGACAGACGGCAAAGCTCAGCCACGGACGGATGGAGGTTGAGTATCGGACGAACGAAGATCGTTGCAGTGCTCCGACCACCTCCGCCAGTCCGATGACGGGCCGTGACGAGCCGCGCTCCACGGTGACGCCCTCACCCCACCTATCGGACTGCTGCCTGCTGCTGCCTGCATCGGAACATCGGACAGCCACTCTCGCATGCCGGCAGCTAGTGCGCTGCAGCAGACTGATTCCCCGTCCCCGCACTGCTCTCGACAAGGGCACTGCGCGTCGCTCGGTGCGGAATCAACCTGCTGGGGATGGAAGCCCGGCCACGGCCAGGCAGGGTCGGGACTGCCACACTGTTAGACTGTCAGACCGCGGGGTGCAGCGCCCCAGGAGGAGACCGGGTGGGAGAGGTGGGCGAGGTGGGCGAGGTGGGCGAGGTGGGCGAGGCCGGGCCGCCACTCCTCCCTCGTTAGCGCACCGGCGCGGAAGGCAAATGGAACGGAATATGAGTTCGTCCCGGGGGAGGGGTGCAAGTGCGCTCTTGACAAGACACGCCGTGTCTTACGCGGCGGCGGTGGAGAGTCCCTCCAAAATAATTGCATTTCGGGCGAACTGTTTCCTGTTTCGGCATTTTTATCTTTCTTCGTATCTTCTATTGAAAAATCACAAAACAACTCGCATCGATGTTTTGCGACGCTACTGTTTTCGTGGGATAGACGGTTTCACGTCCAGAAGTACACTTGTTGGACAGTGACAGGCAACGAGGCGCCACGACTAAGAGATAAACCATTTCTGTCGTATTTGATTAAATTTTTTTTTCGTTTCAACTTTCGGGAACCGCGGTGTGGGATGCCCGCTCCGCCTGTCCAGATATAGGTCGCAGATATGGCAGCGGGGCGAGCAGCCAGCCATCAATGTTGGATGGGTCCGAGGGCGGGTGGGGCCGGGCAGGGCGGGCGGCTGCCTCGGACTGACACACGGGGAACTCGGCAGCCCCGCCAGGCCCCGCCAGGCCCCGCCAGGCCCCGCCAGGCCCCGCTCGGACACGGTACACGGTCCTGCATACGCCTCTCCACGCAAACAAACAAAGGCAAGCCGAGCGGCCTAGCGGCCTAGCAGACAGCCTTCTGGTCGATTGGCTGCGACACGGAGGCCCGGGACGATGTCGCCGTGTCAACGGGCAAGCCCGGGCAGGCCAGCAAGGCGGCAAGGCTACGGTCAAGTCACTCTCGTCTCAGTGTTGCCGTGGGAACGGCGGAGCGGGGCGTTGGTGCGAACCTCGCGGCGCGCGACATTCAAGGCGAGGTTGCCGGAGGCGGCCAGCCACAGGAAGTAGGGCGCCCGGTCTTTTCATCCGTTCAATATCCAATATTTAATATCCATACACCCCTATCATTTTGATATTGAATATTGAATTTTTGATAATATTGAGGTACCAATACCAATATTGAAATATTGTTTTTCAATATATTGAAGATCATCTCCAATGTTGATAGTTCGAATCTGCATAAGGCTCATGAGCTTCACTTTAAGCACAAAAATAAGCTCATCTGCACGGTTTTCTTTGTGACTGGACCAAGTATCGTTCTCTATTTCTCTATTTTCTCAATAAAATCGCACAGTAAATTTGAATGTTCAATATTGGATATTGGTTCACCAATACTCAATATCGAATATTGATATCGAAAGTTTCAATATAGTGATATTGGAATTCCAATATTTTAAAATATTGAAATTGTATTCAATATATTGAAATACCGCCCACCCCTAACAGGAAGAAGACGACGCGCCCCGGTCCTTTTGAACCGTGTTTCGGCCTCGAAATTATAAGCCTCACCCTTTCTTCCTCGTTTTTCCCCCTCTTTTGCTTTGTCTTTGCGCTGTCTTCCTTTTGTCAAACCGGGGATTTTCCGCGCGGCGCGGCCCCGCCTCGCGGCCCCGCCTCGCTGCCCGCCACCCAGTCGCAGCTGCCCGTGGCTCTCAGCCGAGGAGTCGCCTCGTCGCTCCGTCTGTCTCACACCTCGTGGAAACCCCACAGGATGCTAATGAGTGCGACGGAGACAGAGCGGCCGAGGCGAGACCAGACTGGAGCGTAGGCGACGTGACGCAGCGACGCGGCGACGCGGCCGGGGCTTTATTCACTAGTTTTAATTCAATTACCCTCGGGGCGGTCCTCTAC